TATTTTGGTGGTAATTTTAAAATAAAACAACCCATGTGCACATTGAATTGATCAGACACTTATTTTTTTTTTTCGGGGTCTTACCCCAACTTAAATCCTGCATTCAACAATGCCGGTTATTTCACAAAGTATCAGCAAACTTCCAATTGCTAAAACTATATGGGTGACCTTTACTCGGGTGGAGTGAATCAAAATTCCAAGATGTAATTTGTGTATCAGTGGAAACTGTGTTGCCAAGGTGATGAGGTGTGCCATTTGTGATAAATGTAGATATTTAAATAACAACTACTCTTACAATACTTTGGCAAATCTGCTTCATGAACTGATCACCATAGTGATGGTTGCCATGGTGCTTTGATAAGTAACATATTTTTGTTAATGGATGTATTTATTTCTTAAATATCATAGTTCACTTTAAATATCATCATTACCAGTATGCATTTAATGGAGTGGGGAGGCCACACAAATTTTACTCAATGTGGTATAAGCAACATATGGTTTAATTCTATTCTATTCTATTCTATTCTATTCTATTCTATTCTATTCAATTCTATTCTATTCTATTCTATTCTATTCTATTCTATTCTATTCTATTCTATTCTATTCTATTCTATTCTATTCTATTCTATTCTATTCTGTTCTATTCTATTCTATTCTATTCTCACACAGTACTGTATAGAGTTTAGTTATGAGTGTGGTTATCTTTTCCCTTAATTCGCTAATAGCTAAATACGGTAAATTAAAACTTAGTAAATACACTTTTAAGTTAACAATGGAATGTATTGTTTCTTTCAAAAACCACTGATTTTAAAAACTAATGAATATTCCTGCAAATTAAAATTAACCCCAGTGAATATTTCAAAACCTCAGTGCTCATCGCTTTCATCAGCTATGCAGATTCCATTGTGATTGACATTCAAACACTGATTTGAATTAAACAAACACATAATTTATTAATAATTGATCTAAACATTATGAAAACTGGTTTAGATGGGCATTGTCAGTTACAGTGAACACACATGTGAGTAATATTCCCTTTCATTCATTTTATTATTTTAATTTATTTCATTTCATCTAGATATGAAATGCTGTTTTCAGTCGTGACTACCGTATTCTCAGCTTTATAACCAATTGCTAATACTGTAAAATAACTAATTTTCACTGGGTTTAAATTTCACTGATTTACCATTTCAGACATATTCAATGGGTTTTAAATTCACGGTTTTATCATTTTAGGTAATGTGTTCTATGCTTAATTTTACATATTCACTGGGTTTTAATTTAGCGCATTTTTCAGTCAGCGAAATAAGCGAAATTAAAACCCAGTGAATAATTAACCCTTTCACAGTATTGAATAGAAATATGATATATTGGCTAAAATATGATAATATTTGCTAAAATATCTCCTATTGGCTGAAATAAGAAAAAATTAAAAGTATGCAAATGGATAAAATAAAGTTAGTCTAAGAATGAAATGTATGATTTTCTACAATGTGACAAGATTGGTTAAATGTGATAAGATAAAAAAAATGCTAAATATGATTTGCTAAAATAAAAAAATCTTGTGTCACTTAACTTATTTGTTGTTGGAAATGAAACAAGATTATCCTGGATAATAAATTGCTATTAACATGAGTGGCAGTGACACAGTGGGCAATATACATTATGTATATGTTAATCATACTGGGCTTGAACTCATTTGAGAGAGCAGCCATTTTCATTGCCAAAATTTAAAAAAAAATTGTCATATAGGAAAAAGATGAGGAATATCAAAGAGCGTGAAGCAAAACTCATTGGGCATCAAGACAATGACCTTTGATGTCACTGTGAAGTTCAAGTATTATTAATGATTTCTGGTTAAAAATGTAGATTTTTACATAATTTTTAAAGTCAACTTCTGTCGCCTACCTTTCACAAAATAAGTCTGCATAATTTTTTACACATTTTTTCAACAATTATGATCAAGATCTATAGGCAAGTAGTAATTACATTCATTTAGTCCAAAACTACCGAATAAATTATGAAAAAAAAACCATTAAAATGTTCAAATGTTTTATCAAAATTTTGGCGGGAAAAAAACCAAGCATTCAAAAGGTTAAAGAAGTCTTCAATTGACATGTAAATCAGTCATAACGGCTTTAAAATAAAAAGATTTAAAATATTGAACACATACCAATAGATTAGTAGTCTATTGTTTAATTAATTATGATATGTATATAATTTAATGACTCAGTTCAATATATGTATCATGTATATAAAATACAACATTCACACATTATGTATATTCTCTTAAATTCTTATAATAATCTATATTAGCTATAGAGCGGGTTGTCTCGTAATCATATTCATAAGTGAGTAAGTAATATCCATCAATATGATCAATATGAAATGCGCCCTGTTATATTAATAGTGTATTCTTATCAGGCGAACACCCCTATATCTTAGTGGTACAGTCCATCCACATCAATGTATGGTAAGTACATGATCTCATCTGCATATTTGAAATTATGTGGGTAGGGTTGTTAGCCGCTCTCGTCTTTGTAGTGTGTCAGGAATAGAGTATAGATGATAGAATTGCTGGTGGTAATGTGCGTCACTATATCCAAAGCCTGCTAGCTTAACCAATACATGGCTGTATGAACTGAACAAGCAGCAGCTGATAGTTAATACCGTCCTTAATACCGTTGCCATAGAAATCGAATATTCTGAAAATGAGTGCGACTGACAATAGTGTCGATTATCAAAGTGTTAATACACGCTCTATGAGCAGTAACGGTGAAACTGACGGGTGAGTATGATATATATGCAAACTATTCAGTTTTTCACTTTGTCCATTCTTTTGTTATTTCCACGGATTAACTTGGAAATTTTGTATTAATTATTCCTAGGGATATGGTAAAAACGCTATGCAAATTAGTTGTTTTCCTCTAAACTCTGTAAAACACTTTGAAAAAGGTACATACCATATTTGGCAATGTGTCAAAATTAACTGATTCTCAATTTAGAGGGGTCAATAACAATATGGAAATTAGAGCTATATCGTGGATTCAACGACAGCATTATAGGGTACCTATGATAACATGCTAGCTAAAAAGACACGTTTTACAGTAATCAACAAGTGTAATTTCAATGAACATGCGAGTACATAGTACAGCTGACAACACATACAAGTATATATGATAATTATTATAACAGCTGAGAATTATAGTTTAAAGGACATTTACATATGTAAATATGTATGTAAACACTCAGAAATGTAAGTTCAATATACTACACAGGTGTGTTTGAAATTAAATAGGTTTTTGTTAAACTATGAGGTATAGACACGAATTGTTGGCAATATGTGATGCCAACTGACATGTTATGATGAGAACATACTGCAGCCTTATTTCAAATAATTTTAAAAAAGGCATCAACACTCACAACCTATTTATGTTTTCTCAATATAACACAGTGGAAATGTTCTTTATTAAATAACTTTCTAAGATACTGTAAAATACAATATTTTCACTTGGAATTAATTTTAACTGAAGGAGTGACTGACTGATATAAGGTAGTTGTGACAATAAATCAGAAATTGTTTGTCCCTCTGGACTATCAAATAAAATCACAAGTTGGGCCGAGAATGTCTTTAAAAAAATTGTTTAAACCTATTTATGCAATTTCAACATGATGAATCTTCTTGTGAGATATATCTTGCTGGGACAGGTACTTTAGACACTTTCATTGCATTACTTTACCCCTTCAAGTGTTAGTTAATATATTTATACACGAGGCTATATGTGATACATAGAATAAAAAGAACACTCATATTTGATGTTGTATTTACCTTGAATAAATAATACTTCGCAACCACTGTATCGGATAAACCAGTTAGCAAGATGAATTGTAACTTTGTAAAACACTTTGGTTTTTGTCTAATCTAGACTTTATGCGAAGGCGTTTGGTTCAGTCAGCGCATGCATAGTTTAGATAATTGCGTTATCATGATATTATTGAAAATGATACGAGTTCGTTAGAATACAGAAACAGGTTATTTTGATTTGTTTTAACATTCTTTAGTCACATACAATGTGGACACTCAAAAAATGAAGGATAGTTATTGAATACGTACTTTAGATTAGCAAATCATCATTTTGACGATCCCCATACAATAGTGAATCCCGCACACCACGCTATCAACCCCCAAAGTCTAGAACAAAGCAAAACCATAACAGTGATGTGGTATGTACTAGTAATTTAAGATTAAGATAGGATAAGATAAGATAAGATAGGATTAAATTTAATATACCAGTAGTGTTGTTTTGTCCTGTGTACACGGTATTATTAGTATTTTAATGTGCTTGTGACATTTTAGTATTTCACTAAGCCCCCAGGGGCTATTACCTTCTAAAAGTTGGAAAGAATACATTACAGAAACCATCACAGGGTTTCTAAGACACATGTGCAGTGAATACACACAGACACATTGGACATACCAGACTTTGTTTAGAAAATACATCAAAATATAAAAATAGTTAAATTAGTTTACAATGTGTGGGGAATATACGTTATTATCTACATTGATGGAGGTAGCTGGGAGACGATGGGTCAGTGGTCCAACATTTAAATAATGATAATGACTTTATAATTTATAATCTATTTGGAAATGCTTACTGGGAACTAAAAGCGGATTCATGAAACAAGAAAACTATTCTAATTATACAACAAGTAGGATTTATATTCTCACTTTGTGAGATATCTTGTTGAAGATTTACAAAATCTGATTGGTAACTCGTATGTTCGATACCAGTATTATCATTTTGTGCTAGTACCCGGTAATGACCAAATTAATTTCATCTTAGTGTGACTGTGACACATTGTCCAAAACATTGTAGTTGTTGACGATTTCTAAAATATGTATTATTATACATCTGTCACTGTAACGCCATGAGTTACAACATGCTGTAATTTTGCGGTATTTTACAGGGTATTTTCATCCTACCATATACGGAAATGCAAATTCCAAATATCGAATGATTACGCGTGTAAGCATCCTGTAATAGTAAAAACAAACATGGCCGCCACCAGGGTTTTACCGTACTCAACACAAAGAAGTTCGCTGATCCTGTTCTAAACTTTTTGGATTTCGGCATTCCCATGATGTATCCTTGGAAGGAAAAGATGTATAATAATAAGATTATTGCGAGAATACCTCAAAGTATGCACTCAGACAGTACGCCGTGCATCGACCTCCGCTGTGCATCGGTTAATACTCCAGCTGTACTGTTTTTGTGCATACTTTGAGGTATTCTCGTAATAACCTCATAATATTTTAACTCTCTATAGGTCACATTGCAACCAATAGCGTCTGTTTTAAACGACAACACTGAGCATGACACCATGTGATCAATTATTCATAACTACGGTACTTTTGATTGGGACAAACAAATAAATGAACATAAACTAAAAATACTTTGCTGTAATAATTATTTGAGGGCTTAATTGTTCAGGTAATAAAGTGTGTTGGGGTTCAAAACAATTATATCACTGACAAGTCACGGCAAAGTAGTACAGTTGGTGTTAAAAATGTCTATCTTCAGTGCATGTTGTTCTTATTTAATCTATTTTAAAACATGTACCATATGTTAACAATATTTTTAGCCAAATTTCATTATCATGACAAATACTTTTCCAAATGACAGGATGTTAAATCATTTATATATTCATAGTCTACACTGGTCATAGTTTTTATTCTGATAATATAATCAGAATTGAAATATCGGTTGTAATTAAGTATCAAGCTAACTCTTTATGTGCATGGTAGTATACTGTAAAATACTTTAGTTTAGCTGGAATTGATAAATTTGTATGGAACTTATTTTCACTGATTTTTGACAGTTGAATGTAAAATCTAGGACAAAAATTTTATTCGCTGGATTTTATTTTCACTGAATCATTCCTTCAGCAAAAATTAATTCCAAGCGAAAACAAAGTATTTTACAGTAACTCAATGTTTTTGAGCATCAATGTCAACTTACATCACCATTCATAAAATAGAATGTGTCACATTTTTCACAAATTTTTTTTCTCCAAAACTCAGGCAACTTTTTTTCACCTTTCGAAAAATAAAGCAACATATTTTTTTCAATATTTGTTGAAAGAAAATGATCAATAGGAAATCATGTTCATTTGGTTCAAAATTAATGAAGAAATTATAGAAAAAATTAAAAATGTGCAAATTGTTGGGGAAAATAATTACATTGAAAGATATTAAAGCTGCTGATGGACTGCTGACTACTATTTGCTATATAGTATACTTTTGATGTTCACTGACTGTTACAAACCAAAAATACGTTATTCATTATAATACTTTCCACATGTTTGAACATGTTTCTCACAAAAAAAAAATGTATAAACAATTCATTGCCAATAATAATTATTTTATTCAAATAATCATTCAATCATATCAAATATGATTTCTAATCTATATGAAAATGTTCATTAGTCGTGTTTATCAAGGTGCTGATTATAAATATGTTGTCAGTTTCACTTTTCACAGAAAACACAATGTTAACTTTTCTGTTTTCACTACCATTTTTGGATTTTGTCCTGACTTCACATTTAGCTAAAATATTTCAAATTTCAAACCATTATTATTAAACCGGTCACTGGTAGCATAGTGGTTGTTACACCAGACTCATGATCGGTAGTAATCCTACCTTAGGCTGAACATCAAAGGGTCGACCCCTACCCTGGGTGAGTGTGCCACAGACTCAATGGGCAGGCCAATTCCACTGGCCGAGATTCATTCACTAACGAATGCGACTTTGGGGGAACCTTGGTTAAGGTCCGCAGGTGCTTGTGTTCGACCGGGCCTGGTTGATGCCAGGATAGCGCATTACAAATTGCCATTTGACAGAGAGATGGCTACACAGCCCTGTCATGCAGTCCCAAACATGAATATGACTTCTGTGGCAAAAATGCACTATGTGTCAGCACCAGCACTTGCAATTTGCACATACAGAAAAAAAAAGTCAGGAGAGACAACAGTGACACTCATAGTCCGAAACTGTCGCCTGGCACAAAACAATATTTAAAAAAAAAAAAAAAAAAAAAACATTATTAGAAAAGAAACTATTCTTAGTAAGATATAATGTATATAGTATTTTTAATACTTTGACTAATAATAAATTTGTATTTACCGAGGATAAAAAAATGTAAGCAATGTAATTGTAACAAATCTAATTATTTTATCTTTTGAACTTTACAATGTATGATGTTTTGAAAAAACAAACTAAGTGATTGGTGAACCATTTTAATTTAAAAAAAAAAACTAAAATTTAAATGAACATATTTTTTTAAAAGTGTGAATATACCAGTAATCCCATCAGTGTATGTATGTTTGTATAGAGAGATTTGCAGCAAGTTGTTTTACACACCCCAAATGTTTCACACACAATCTATCAAATACAGGCTATAATTTATAATATACAGTAGAAGCCACCAAATTTTACTTCAATATGAATTTCATCAAGGTTAATTAATTTGAATTGTATATATAGCAATCTAAATTGATTTTTATGAAATTACAATTTTTTAATTCAATTTAATACATCTCAGTCGTGTAGTGCACATTTGATTTCTGTATACATTGTATTTTACATGTGTTGTGTATGTAGTGACAGTTTATTGAATCTTTAGATAAAAAAACAAACATTTCTATTATCTGTTAGCAAATAAATATATAGATAACAAAAAGTAATACATGTACATAAAAAAAAAAAAATTAATATGCAATTTAATTTT